GTCTGCCCTGCTGCATGTTTTTCTTTCGTAGAGTGAGTACTGAGTAAGATATCTGCATGGCAGATTTTGTTAGGGCAAGGATCATAACAGCAGTTGTAGTTTGTCTTTTTCCTCTCCTTCTCTCCCTCCTCTCAGTCGAAGATGCTTCAGTGGGTGCATTAAACGTTAATATTGCTAACTATATTAAGTAAACAAGGTACAATGAGATGTAGAGAAGACAAATGTAAATTGAGGGTTCAGAAAAGGATACAGAGAAAACTGCTACAGTGTAGGCTTGCACCAGAGCATACCCTAACAAGTACCCAGGGGATTTATCAGCAGCTATGCCCACCTTTCAATTGGAAAGAACCAAATTGAAAAAAAAAACACCTTCTGGTTTCTGTGCCTACTTCCCAATTTCACTGATGCAGGCAGATATCATTTATAGGTTTTGCTCTCAACACAGCCCCACTTCCTTGGGAAACTCATGGCAATCCTAATCAGGAGACACTGAGTTCTCTGTCCCCACTACCAAGGGGACTACCCTTGGTGCTAGGGTGTCTTTAATTTTCATTTCTCAGTCTAGGATACCTGAGAAACAGGTTTCACATTCAGTTCTTCCTCTAGCAAGCAGAAACCTAGCTTTTTGCTTTCTAATCTACAGGAGTAAATGAGACTGTGGATATCAGAAATTATATATATTTGGAACTATCAAACTCAAATTCAGATATATTTGAAACTACAGTGGTGCCTCGCTTAACGGGCACCCCATTTAACGAAGAAATTGCATAGCGATGAAGAGTTTGCGTTCGCATTGCGATGTTTTAAATGGGAAAAAATCGCTTTGTGATGATCGGTACCCTGTTTCGCTTACCGATCATCACAGCGATGATTTTTTAACAGCTGATCGGCGGTTCCAAAATGGCCACCGAGTAAAAAAAATGGCCACTTGCTGCTTTCTGGGATGGTTTCCTCGCTTACCGGGCAGTGAAAATGGCCACCGTATGGAGGATTTTCATTTAAAGGTGAGTCTGATGCCCATAGGAACGCATTGAAGGGGTTTCAATGCATTCCTATGGGCTTTTAAATATTGCATAGCGACAAAATTGCTTTGCAGCGATTTTTGCTGCACCAATTATCGTCGCTATGCGAGGCACCACTGTATCTGAATATGCCAGTATTTGGTGATTCTGAATCTGAATACACAGCCCTCTTTAACATCTAATGGGGGTTTCTAGGAGCCACTTGGCCACTATTTATGTGAACCAGGAAGACTCTTCTTATGTAATTTTTATTGCTTTTTGCATACAACAAGGGCTCCACAAAAGAATATACCCTAAAATTATCTGTGTAAGAATCAAGGGGCTAGATATAAAATTACCCTGAATACCAGTGATCACATTAGGCACTTTAACACCTATGTTGGAACAGGGTATATGTGAAACTGCCTTTAATTCTCCGTCTTAAAATAAGTCATCTATGCTTACTTAAATATTGCAAACAGTTTCTTCAGACCTCCTATAAAATCAGCCAGTCATATAATGGAGCCATATGGCTCTTTCGTCTCATTGAAATGAAATTGCAGCCATTTGTAAAGCAGTATGCAGGAGATATGAACAAGTAACAAGTGGCCTTAGCAAAATCCCCACATCCACCAACCCACTTTTTTGTTTAATCTCATTCCTCTCTTTTTCTCTCTGGTTAGTTTTAGTTTAATTTCTCAACAAGGGAAAGAAAAAGTAACAAATAAATGGAATATTGATTCTGCGAGAAGAAAACAGCAAAGGAAACATCCAAATGGAAACGGATGCATACTTCTTCCTGAGGTCATCAAAATTGTACAAAACTAACTTTTACCAAGTAACTTTTTTTTACAAGCACTTTTAAAGATATTCTTCAAATTCATCTTCATTGGGGAATTATTACACATAATATGGACATTTTAGTCAATACAGGTTATTCAAATCTGTCTGATTCATGATGTGACCTTTGGAACAACTTGGGTTCTAGTACTTTCGAGAGCAAAGAGAATAATCTAACTTTAAAATGAGAAGCAAAAGTCATGTAAACAAAACAAAACAAAAGACAGATTGGTGCATTGGTTTGTGATGCATTCATTTATCATCTGCATCTCAATTTCAAATTATCTGATTCTCCAACAGAGCTTAAAAATTGTTAAAGCCAGTTGGAATCTAATACCAGAGGCCTGCACAGTGCTTATTATTTACAGCATTCTCGTCCCAAATCTAATGTAGGAAAAGTAATATGTGGCTTGCAGAATTGAGGCCTAAAGGTCAACTGCAAACAACTGGTTTTTATGTTATTTATTTCTTTATTTGTTCAAACACTTTTGTTTCTTATTTCTTTGATGCTAAGCAGGGAGATTATGGCTCTGCGGGATGCAAATTGCTCAAAAATTGTCATGCCTTGAACATGACATACGGAGGGCTAATCCTGAAATTACTTTTCTCTCTGTCTTATAGATATTTAGAAGTACCTAAGGATTCACAGGGAGCAGAGGCTCTCTTAGGAAACAGTGGAAGATTTCAACATTTCTAATTTATTAAACATTAATGCACTAAGTTTATACAGACTGTTATGACTATGGAAAGGTCCACTGAAGATTTACAGGCCAATAGCAATGATCAAGGGGTGTGCCATGAAATCTCTCTCCCACACTGCCATCAAAAGAGTTTGAATGAGAACAGTAGTCAGTAAATGTCTACGAGGCCTTTTATGGAAGCATGCTCTCAACATCTTGTGGGCTAGAGAATGCCCAGCAGAGTATTTCAAAATGTGATGAACCCAGAAAGCATGAAGTCAAAATATGTGGTCCATTAAAATCACTGGAATCAAGAGTATAAATAATTAGAAATCCATGTGAACAGATAGGAAGTTATATTGTTCAGATATGGCTGGGTTTTTTTATGTTGGTGGTAAGACATTTCATGGACGTATGTTGTCATTATTACATGCTGTCAAGTCAGAACTGACTTATAGCAACCCTAACAGGGCTTTCAAGTTAAGTGAGATATTTAAAGAGTAGTTTTACCAGTTCCACCATCCCCCAGTGAGTTTCCATGGCTGAACGAGGATTTGAAACCTGGTCTCCAGAGTCCCAGTCTGTCACTCTGTCCACTACACTACACTGGGTATATAACAAATGGAATGATGAAAAGAAGTGTGTAACACAATGTTTACTTCATCATGGCATGCTTTGTCACTCCAGCAAACCACCAAAAAATAGTGTACAACAATGGGTTCCAGCATGCTATGTAATGGAAAGGGTTTTGCATAAAATACTCTATAAATCTGTGAGGGACTGACCTCTGAAAGACAGGTATTTCAGTCACTCGTTTTTCTTATTATTTTAATAAATTAGGAATAACTAATCAATTTATAGTCATGGTTTGCAATATTTGGTTAACATTTGATTGGTCAAGTACCACCACTAATAAAAATTCTTTAATTTACTGCATTGTAGTAACACATGAATGAAAAGTCAGTGGACGTTCAGCACTGAGACTTCCATCCTTATTGTCAACTGAAGCTGCAGGGCTCAAAATTCTAATTGTGGAGTAATTTCATTCAGGTTATTTAAATTATTTTAGAAAAAGGGACCTGAAGATTGAAATTCTGTGTAGTTGTCATATACAGTGGACCCTCTACTTATGGAATTAATCCGTATTGGCTGCAGGTTGAAAAGTCTGTAGGTTGAGTCTCCATTGGCCTACAATGCATTGATAACCGATTCATCCCGTAACCAGTCGTTTTTGTTCCATTTTCATTCAGGTTATTTAAATTATTTTAGAAAAAGGGACCTGAAGATTGAAATTCTGTGTAGTTGTCATATACAGTGGACCCTCTACTTATGGAATTAATCCGTATTGGCTGCAGGTTGAAAAGTCTGTAGGTTGAGTCTCCATTGGCCTACAATGCATTGATAACCGATTCATCCCGTAACCAGTCGTTTTTGTTCCATTTTTGTTCCATAGTTAATCCCGTAACCAGTTGTTTTTGTTCCATTTTTGTTCCATTTTGGTTTTTTTCTGGTCTGTAGGTCGATTCTCAGGCTGCAAGTCGAACCTAAATTTTGCAGCCAGAGAAGTCTGTAACTCGAGAAGTCTGTAAGTCGAGCCGTCTGTAAGTCGAGGGTCCACTGTATTTAAGGATTGCACGGATAAACCATATTGCTGAAAATTAGCAAATGGATTCACAAGTATGGAGGAATATTGATAGATGATTAACTGTAAATTCTATGGGTGTGTTTTGGAAGACAGCTCACACAATGAATCTTTTTCTCCCCCACCCGCCATCTAAATCCTATGGCTAGTCCCAAGTAGACTCAACCCACTGGGGCAATTGTTAAATGATAAGTTGACAGTTACATCAATCTCATTAATTTAGTGGGTCTATGCTGCTCGGACCAGATATTGGGTTTAGGCCATTGGAGCTGTAGATGTTCCTCAAAAGATTTTTGTTTTTGGCAACCTTTTGTATCAGCTCTCCCATAGGTACCAAACTGAAGGCATTGTCACTCCTTTGAGTTGATATTGCAAGGTAAGAATACATGGAATATAAAGCAAAGAGAGTAGGGCTGCACAGTTGGAATGCATGATGGATAAAAGCTAATGCATGACAGATAAAAGCCGAATGCATGGGTTTACTTGTAATTCATAAGGTGAATATGAACTATGTATCCATGAGAAAAGTTTTCCCCCAAGTTGCAGTGTCCACAAATGGGGATCTCAACTCCAAGCTGAAGCTGTGGAAATGCACATTCATGGCAGTCAACCTTCATGAAAACTGACAACCCACGAACATTCTGGTGTATATTTGGAGTCCTGTGTGCAATTATTGTGAATATATCTTCTGCTGTTATCACCTAGAGTGGCAATTTATTCCTCCATGTCTAGCTCTCAGGGAGGTTTCAAAGAAATATAGAAGTTGTCAGCACATAAGAGTCAACACATTACTGCTGTACTGCAGCCATATATAATGAAACCAAAATGAGCACTCACTTGTTTGGCATTAATTTAATGTCCCACTTAGCTCCTATCAGATGCAAATAGCTGCCTCATCCATTTAAGGGTTTCCAGGCGTGCATATAATGAAGTGCTCTGTACCTGTCAAGGAAGCAGAATTCATAACTGAAATCAGAAGTAGATGAGGAAATTCAGTGTCCTTGTTAAAAAATAAATTTAAGCCTCAGACCTGGCAACGTCAAATGGAGATCTCATACTGGTTTTCTGTGGCAAAGTTCCACTTACACTTGCCTTTCAGGACAGAGGTTCCCAGGACAGGATGCCCACAGACATACATCAGTGTACCCAGTGCACTTCTGAAATCAAAGTCAGTAGCTGGCAAAGGTGGCAGCTGTACTTGTCAAACTCCAAACAAAACAAATGGGGCAGCCAACTTCTTGTTACTTAACTTGATTTTATACCCTGAATTTTAGAAAAAACACTGTTTAATTTTAAACAGTATTCTAGTTATGATCAGTTTCCCCAGAGAAAGTTTTTATGAGTATAAATGGAGATAATGACTGTCATTAGTCACTGCCATTAGCATACAGCATTAGAAACTCTATGCCATTCATAACAGACTGTGACATGACAGTAAAAATATGACTTCTAATCGCTCGTATATGCTTTTTGAGTACAGCTGGTTGCTATTTCATATGGCTAAACTGATATCCAAAGGGTGGTAGGAGTGGTATTTAATAGCACGTTCATCATCGCATCTAATTGTTTTCCACCACAGGGTATGAAGCTTTATGTTCTCTATCAGCCAAAAAAACAAACAGCCATCCTGCTTAATGGCTGCTCAATTAATGTTTATGGTGCTACTTTTATACCCTGAGTTATTTGACAAATAAACTCCAAGAAGCAATTTAAGAACCTCTGAAGTTTAATGATAACCCTGTCAGAGATTAAAAAGGAAGAAAGGACAAACAAGCATTCTGGACGTGGGGAAATCTTCCTAGAGTTGGTCTTTCTCTCCATACATAGGATGAGGAAAGCTCCAGGGACAAAAAGTGTTGTTTTTCTTCCACACAACTTGCTTAGAATGATTCCTACTTTTACTTTACTTTTATTAGATTTTTACCCCGCACCCCCCCTAGACAAAGTCTACTCCAGGTGGCCTACATACATAATAAATCATCACAGATCATCCTAGGTCAAGTTGAGATGACCTGTGCATGCCAAGCCATAGAAAGATGATGCTAAGTTCACCACACTGTTGGGGCTTAACCCTGTGATGGAAAGTTGCCATTTGTAAGGTATGATTGGTACCACTCCATAATTCTGTTTTCTGTCCCACAGAAGAGCGTACACTGATTCAAAGCAAGAGTTGAAAGACAGATTTCCCTGCAACTGCAGTGGTGCCTATTAATTAACACATTCCCCTCTGAATGACGTGTTAGGAGGCTGTGTAAAATTACCATTAAATAATATGTTTTCAATGAAAAGGTGCCATGGCTGATTCTCCATGCAAATGATTTCTAGCCAGTAATACTAACTGAATGTATCAATAAAATATTCATCTAGAATATTTTCATTTGGTCTTCCTGATCTGTGACTTCTAATGATATATTACAAGTCTCTGCTTCCCCAGCACCGAGGCAATTAATCATTAATATTCCTGTCTCCTCTGAAGCAACTGGACACAATCAGACAAGAACATGAAGTTGGAGGAGTAAAAAAATCTTATCAAAAATTGCATGTATTTTTATATCTTAACTCGCCTTCGATAGGCTGACTGCAAATTTATTTTAATGGACTGACTATAATTATAAAGAACTCATTCTCCTCAGTTTTCCAGTGACACGAGTAGATGATAGGGTTTGTTCCTGACAGAAACAAATGAGATGGCATGTTTGAAAAGCTGCCCTACTGTTCCCCCTCCCCCTGCAGGTCTACACAAGAAAGCACCAGAATAGGGACAAAGAATAGGGACCTGACTGACTGGGGTTTGATGCCGACTGCCTTTGATTAAGAGGGAATGAGGCATTTCAGAGTTCATTTTTCTTCTACTAAGCACCTCTTCATCGAAAATTATGCAGTTGGACTGATCTGCATTTGATACGTTTAGCATCACAGTTTTATTATTTGTAATAAATAAAGTCAGATTTTTATGGGCTTGCTGCACATTAAAGAAATCATTCAGGAAAGTGAAAAAAACATATTTTTATTTCCTGTGTTATTTTCCTGGCATAAAAAACACAAAGAAAAAGCAAGCAAGCAAAGCCAAGAAACAAACAAATGTCCTACAGGGATGTGGTTTTTAAGCAGTGCTGGCTGTTCCTGAACTTTTAAGTGTCTTCAAATCAAGAAAGTAGTTTGAGAGCACCTTCCAGACATTATCACGACAATCGTTAGAATTCCGGGGTGGGAGACTCATATTTACCATGACAATAAAATGAAGGATTTAACTTCAGAAATATTGCCATAGCCCAGGATTGCAAATTATTGATCAATGGTCTTTTAACTTGCAGTCAAGTTGCTATGCAACAGGCTAGACCACCCAGGGTTGCCCCTATCCAATTCCTGAATTTGCAGGGGCTATGCAATGCCAGCTGTGTTCTATTTCTTTCATAACACGTCCTGGGTAAAATCCTATTGAGTAACTTACACCTGTAGAAGGGTGACAATGTCACCAGCAGAAGGTGATTTTCAGTAATTAAAAGCTTTCTATCTCATGGCTTTTCTGACTCCTCTGTAAACCCCTCCATCATGTAGAAGCCACAGGAGGCATGAGATGGAAGGAGGAAATCTTTAATTGCCAAAATTCTTCCCCTGCCGCTAACATCATCTGATGGTGACATTTTTTGGCAATTAAGCTGCTACTGTATTTCTTGTCTTCATCGCAGGTGATGCCATGCAACTTCTAGACTGCTGCTTATCCACAATCATAGCCTAGAGCAGGATTGTCCAACCTGCGGCCTGAGGGCCGCATGCGGCCCAGGTTGACTCATAATACGGCCCAGTGTAATTTTTTATTTTTAAAGAAATTCCAAAGTTTCAAGTTACACTGCTGGTGCTTGCGGCCGGAATGCGGCCAGGGCACGTCACAACGGTAGGGGGGGAGAGGGAAGGCAGACTCAATGCAAAAGAGAGGTTCTCCTGCTGTGCTGCTCAAATGACTGACTAGAGAGGGTTATTTGCCTAGTCTAGATGGGGTTATACTTCCCCTGAAAGTAACTTGGGGGTACTTCTGGATTTGGCTCTAACAATGGAGGCTCAGGTTTCATCTGTGACCAGGAGCACCTTATCAATATTTGAAATGTTGTGTTTAATAAGAGCATTTGAAAAAAAATTATGGGGGGTCAGGAAAGAAGCCTTAAAAGGAAAACACAGTTTAAAACTATGGCTTGGAACGGCTACTGAGTCATTACATAACACCTTAAACAATCGACCAACTGTACTGCAGATCAAGGTTCCAGAATCTGTAAACAGTTTTCTGACAGCTAAATATTTGTTTATCTTTCATTGACCTTGAGTGCCAAGGAAAATGTAAAATCCTCAATGTGTAGGTTTTAAGAGAATGTTTTTGATAGAGAGGGAAGACATCAGACAGGAAACTCATAGATTAGGAGAAATGAAGGTAGCAGTTTTCTAAAGTTGCAGAATCATCAAAATAAAGATGTTATGTAAACAAATGATTGCCATCTTATGAAAACTGAATAGGGACAAAATGAATGCAGATTTAAATTGGGCTAGAACACGTAGAATTTCCTAAAGGTGAAAATGCTAGGTGAGTAAAACAAGATAAGGGGAAATGAAAACAGTAGGAAAGAGCTATAAATATGTGAAGGTAGGACACACGACATAGGACTGGGCATTTTTTTTATACCAAATGGCTTTGCATTATACAGTACTACACACACTGAATATCAACAATGCTGATATCATGGGGCAAAACAGCGGTGGCACCAGAAAATCAACAATGGGATTTTTTACCTAGGTTTTAACAGCCAGGTTGGGTGAGAACTTTAAGCTTTTGTATTTCAAGAATGCAATATAAAAAATTATTTTTGATATTTTATTGTATTTGTGCTCTTATATTTTTGCTTAAGTATTTGCTGATAAATTCAGGTTTCATATATTTTAAGTCATGTGCCTAGTTTTTTTAACAACTGCCAAGACTATGTTCTCGAAGGCTTTCATGGCCGGTATCCGATGGTGGTTGTGTCCATCGTCGGAGGACAGGAGCTAGAATTCTGTCTGTGTTCTGGTGTAGTGTGTGGGACTGTTGAGTATTTGTAGCTGTGGGATCAGGTTTTTGTTCTTTTCAGGAGATTGGGTGTTTCCTGGAATCTGAAGATGCCGACCACAGAGACTGGTGAAACATTAGGAAGAAAAACCTCCAGAACACAGCCAAACAGCCCGAAAAACCCACAACAACCGTCAAAACTCTTGGATGTGACAACAGGTAGGAATAAAGTTTGAAGCAATAGAGAAATTGTTGCCTGGAACTACTGCAACAACAAAATGCTTATATTACGATATTCAGATGAACATTGATATGATTATCTGTGATTGTGTGATTTCATTCTTGGATTAACCATTAATTGGGATAAATACCAGTTGTGATGAACAACAAGCTTCTGATTTTTTCCCCCAGGGATTCTATGTATCGCTGTAAGCCTCCTGGGGAAGTCAAGCACCCTATATGGGGTCTGAGGGCCTTGTCTTACTATTGGTAGATCACCCCCCAGTTATGCCCCTTGAAAACAGTATGGAGGTCCAGAATGTGGCAGCTAGACTTATTACAGGTACTAGTAGACTTGATGGTATCTTCCAAGCCTTGGCTCATTTGCCTTCGCTCTTTGTCTGTTTTTGTGCTCAGTTCAAGCTGCTGACTTTGACCTATAAAGCTTTTAACGTTTGGGATCTTGATAGCGAATGGAAAAATCTGTCCCTGAAGCAATCTACCTGCCCCCATCACTCCTCACAACGCATGTTATTAAAAGTGCCAATGCCAAGGAAGGCCAGCAAATTCACAACTAGAAATTGGCCCTTTACCTGCCCTGGCTCCCTTATTGTGAAACAAGCTACAGTTAGAGTTTCCCAAGCACTGTCCCTTTCTTATCTTCAAAAAGATGCTAAAAACTGAGCTCTTT